ATTCCAATCTTTATGTTAACTGCAATTTACTTTACAGTTAGTATAACCAAATATAATAATGTGATTATAATAAAATAAAGTTGTAAAAAATTTGTTAACATGTAACTATGTGTATAAATTATTCGCCTATGTAATATTATAATTTTTAATGTAGTAGTCTACATGAAATTATTACAAATTAAAACATAATCAATAATCTCGAGTAACAACAATTCTGTCCAATAAAAATGTTTCTTTCTGGAACATAAAAAAATAACAATTTCAATAAAGTTCGTTGTATAAAACCTATTTTTTACAGTTAACAGTATTTCTTACTTTAAAATGTACTATGGATTTACTCATTAACGTCCTCTCTTCTGCATTATTTGGTGTCATGATTGCGATTAAATATATTATGTGTGGTGCTAATATTAAAAACGTAAGTGAGTCGAGTACATGTTAGTTAATATATGTCAGATATACACATACTCAAGTAAAAAATTTGTTAAATGTAAATTACAATATACAATATAAACGAAATTTTTCCTGAGCTTAATCAAAAGAAAGATGACATGGCATCTCGTTAAAACGGTAGATACAATATTTGTTGGAACAACTGCAGCATATTTATAATGAATTAACTGATGAAAACGAAATCATAATCATAGAAAAATATGGTTACTATGCAAAATGTTATACAATTACATTTACATGTAAGAGAATTGTTTTTGCAACTCATGTTATAGCTAAAATTATAGTGTGCATATCTAATAAATACAGTTAACAAACAAAATAATTTTCTTCAGTAATGTTGACGTCTGTTGCATTCGCTTTAATCTTGTACAATCATTGGCCGGACGCTTGCCATATCCTCTTTTACACAAATGGAACTTGGTCACATCGTTCTTTGCCGTACATGACCGAATATTTTATGGATAAAGACAAATACTTCCATGTGATATTGTTTCACGCGAACGCAACTTTCGTTGTAGGAGGTCTATCAGTAGTAGCGACAGGATCTATATTAGTAGTTTATGCACAGCATGCATGCGGAATGTTTCAAATTGCCTGGTAAAACAATATAAAATAAATTTACAACATCGATGTAGAAAGTTTAAACAATAGAAAAATTAAATTTCCATATAATTATGGCTAAATAATTATTCGCAGTTATCGTATTAAACGAGCAATGGCATTCGAGAATTTACAAAAAAGCAACTTAGAAAATAAGAATTTGATATGTAAGGGATTAATTTGTGCCGTGGATATGCATCGTAAAGCTATGACGTTAGTATCTACTGTATAATAGGCATTACATAATATTTATAATAATTGATACAGCAAATAGAATACATGTAGAGTAATATCAACATTCTCTTTTATAGGTTCGCTGACTCAATTGCAATTAAATTTGAAACAGTATTCTCCAGTTTCATAATAGTCGGCGTGGTTTGCGCAAGTCTCAATTTGTATCGAGTAAATATAGCTTTGTTGTTATCATATACTTGTGAATGACAGCAACCAGATTTGTTTAAATTTTCATCAACAGTTTTAATTAATTATTATTTAGAGTCACGTTATTGTCAAAGTTTCTACCAAAATTCTTGAGCTTACTTATATGTATATTAGATGTTTCAGATAATATTATTTGGATACAATACAGTGGAACTTTTTATACGCTTATCATATGGCAGTGTCCAATTGTTTTATGCACTCATAGGCAACTATCTCGCGCAAGAAATTATAGATAACAATAATAATATATTTGTAACTATGTAAGCAAAATATTTACGAAATATAATCACACGTATGTTACACGTGTGAATGTGACAAAAAGTAGAGTTTTTATGTAGTTTAAGAAACATATAATATAAAGCATTTACAGTTTCTGTTTTCTGCTTAATTTGTTATGACATAGATACGACGTCCAGTGGTACGTTGCTCCGTTGCAAATACAAAAAATGATACTGTTTGTTTTGCAAAGGAGTGCTAAGCTGTTCACGTTGAAAACTGGTGGAATATTTGTCGGATCATTAGAAGGTGCTGCTACAGTAAGAAAAATATCTTTTAAAATTTGTGTTAGATGTGAAATATATTTTTGATAGAGAAATATAGAAAAATTATATCTTATTGCAGTTGATCAGCACTACAGTATCCTATTTCACAGTTCTTTATTCTCTACGGAATTGATGCAAAACAAATAATAGTGCAGCAGAATTAAAATAGTGAAGAAAATAGTTGATATTTAAACGTAATTTATATGCTAATATCTAGAAATGGTTTTGATAATCTGGATGGAATTGTAAGGACTTTTATATCTACGACAATGCAAATATATGAAGTTGTGTTTACGGAAAGTTATTAATAATAAATTAATAGCTGATAAATCTATGTGTAAGGCTGATTCAATTATCATTTATCTAAATGTTTAAACAACACTTATAAGTGCACGAATCCTAAAATGAATAAAATGAAACGAATATTATAGCACTGATTGTTATAAATGTTAAAGTTAATAGTGTATTGTATTAAAAGTATTTTACTAAATAGCTGATTTACTGATATTGTGTGATAATATTTTAAAGATGTCGATGAGTGAAAATGTATTACCAAAATTTTTTTAAAGCAGTATTATTATTGTATTTTTGAATTTTTTAATATTTCTAGACGTTGCGTATTTTTTTATATTTCGTGTTACATTACATTTAATAGATAACTTATTAAAATAGCTAACGCGAGAACTTAGTGATCTATGTTTATTAAGATTGAGTTCAATAGTTATATCACAACTACATTATTTGAAAATAAATAATGGGTTGATAATCATGCAGATACAAGTTTAATTAACAAAAAAATAAAGATACAAGAATTTAGGAAATAAAATTTAGAACACAAAAGTATTACCTAAAGAAATTACACTAATATTTGCAATGTATATTAATAATAATATACTATTAATAATAATAGTTACAATGATGTTTCAAGCTGAGCAATAGGTACCTTCTTTGAAGTATCAAACATAACATAAGACAGCGCACACTAGAATGAGGAAAACAGGTATTACTGAAAAGGATCGAACTGCACTTGCGTAGTCCAGTGTCGCACAAGTCCCTTCATGAAATATTTCTGTTAAATCTTCTTTGAGGAGAAGAATGCGGGACTTGTGTGCCCTCCACTTGCTCACCGGGAATCCTCGGGAACGGTGTGGTCAAGACTATAAATGCAGTCTTTTAGTTTTCTTAATTTATTATCGTCACCGCTGGCACAATACACTCTGTAGCGGTCGCCCAAATCGTAGGATGTGCTTTCCTCGAACAACGCTCTCGGCACTTTTTATCGGTAGTGAAACCGACCTTTCGATGCGTACAGGGCGCCTTACTTTACTCGTCTGGTCTTTTCCACGCCGGCTCGTACAACATACGATCGCGACGGGGCACGGAATCGGCCGAATCATATCGGGAAGGGAAGGAGTGTCGCTCTAGGGACTCGCGGACTGCGGGAAATTCTCGCTACTAATCGCTACGCACGCAACAATTTCTTTGTAGAAAATAAACATTTCTTTCATTATTGACATAATTAAATCGATCTCTTAACTATACACCTCTTCTTCAATAAAGATGCAATTTGCCAAGTGTGTCGGTCTCACAAGAATTTTTTATTCATTCTGCATTTAAGTTAACCTAGGTGTTTCAGCTCAAAATTCAAATAAAAAAAGAAACATCGCTGTAATATCAGATAATTAAATTGAAGCAAACGAAGCGAAGAAAATACTTTCTATCAAATGTATACCAATGCTCATAAAGAAATGATCCTTATCAACTCTTTGCAAATCAGCCTGAATCGGGTTTTATTACTCCTAGTTGGACTTTGGCCATATCAGCAGTCTAAACTCGTTCGAATTCAGTGGATCACATTTGTTGGTATTTTGACGACTTGTATGCTATTTCAGGTACGTTAATTTCTTTCACATACTACACATTAAACTTTAACTTATAATAATATTAGGCGATTTTTGGTGATTGTTAGGTACATATACCAAAGTGTACCAGAGTGTACACTCGGCGTTATGAATTCTTTTACAAATAAAAATAGCTCTTAAGTTCAATATATTCCGATAGAAAAATTAATTTTATTAAAATAAATTTTCCTATTGGATATCTTTACCGTCTTCCTTTAAGGTGTAACGGCATACATAACGCTGAGTGTACACTCTGATATACTTTGGTATGTTAATGTACTAAACAGGCGCTAAAAATCGCCTTTTATTTAGTACACTGTGCTCACAGTCCTTGGATTTATGGAGTATTTATTCACATGGTTTTTTTAAGTGCTTGAAAATTGTATAAATTAAGTATACTAGTAATAAAAGAAATGTAAGAGAAAAGCTCGTTTCTGTCATAAAAATAATAATTTAACATACTTACACAAGCATAATGAAAGCAGAAAAGTAAATTTTTTCATAACTTGAGCGGATAGTGTAATGTATTTTCCAGAAGTCAACTAAAAAAAAGTCACGACGATGTAATAAGTATACTTAAATAAAAATCTTTGGCTTACTGATATCTAATAATTTTAATAAATACCATACAAACATTTTTTTTCTTACTGTGTAAAATTCAAACCCTATATAAAAAGTACCACCTAAATTGACTGTACAATGACTGTATTGCTATTAAATACATATGAAAAAAAATAGACTTATAATTATTTCAATCTTTATGTTAACTGCAATTTACTTTACAGTTAGAATAACCAAATATAATAATGTGATTATAATAAAACAAAGTTTTAAAAAGTTTGTCAACATATAACTATATACAGTATTATTCGCCTATGTAATATTATGATTTTTAATGTATAACCTACTTGAAATTATTACAAATTAAAACACAATCGATAATCTCGAGTAACAACAATTCTGTCTAATAGCAATTTAATTCTGGAACATAAAAAATAACAATTTCAATAAAATGCGTTGTATAAAACTATTTTTTACAGTTTACAGTATTTGTTACTTTAAAATGTACTATGGGTTTAATCATTGACGTACTCTCTTCTGCATTATTTTGTCTTATAATTACGATAAAATATATTTTGTTTGGTGTTAATATTAAAAACGTAAGTGAGTCGAGTACATGTTAGTTAATATATGTCAGATATACAAATACTCAAGTAAACATTTTTTTTAATGTAAATTGCAACATACAATATAAACGAAATTTTTCCTGAGCTTAATCACAAAAAAGGTGACATGACATCTCGTTAAAAGGAATCTCGTTAACGGCAGATAAAATATTTGTTGGAAGAACTGCAGCATATTTATAATGAATTAACTGATGAGAACGAAATCATAATCATAGAAAAATATGGTTACTATGCCAAATGTTATACAATTACACTTACGTGTAAGAGAATCATTTTTGCAACTCATATGTTATAGCTAAAATTATTAGTGTGCATACCTAATAAATACAATTAACAAACAAATAATTTTCTTCAGTACTGGTCACGTCTGGCACATTTACTTTCTTTTTGTACAATTATTGGCCGGACGCTTACCATATCGTCTTTTACACAAATGAAACATGGTCACATCGTTCTTTGCCGTACATGACCGAATATTTCATGGATAAAGAAAAATACTTCCATGTGATGTTGTTTCACGTGACCGCAACTTTCGTTGTTGGAGGTGTATCACTAATAGCGACAGGATCTATATTAATAGTCTATTTGCAGCATGCATGCGGAATGTTTCAAATTGCCTGGTAAAGCAATATAAAACAAATTTACAAAATAGATGTAGAAAGTTTAAACAATAGAAAAATTAAAGTTCCATATAGTTATGGCTAAATAATTATTTGCAGTTATCGTATTAAACGAGCATTCGAGCAATGGCATTCGAGAATTTACAAGAAAGCAACTTAGAAAATGAGAATTTGATTTATAAGGGATTAATTTGTGCAGTGGATATGCATCGTAAAGCTATGACATTATTAGTATCTATATAATAGGAATTATATAATATTTGTAATAATTTGATACAGCAAATAGAATATACGTAGAGTAATATCAACATTCTCTCTTATAGGTTCTCTGACTTATTTACAGCTAAATTTAGAGCACTGGCCGCCGCTATAATGTTAGTCGGTGTGGTTTGCTCAAGTCTCAATATGTTTCGGGTAAATATGGCTTTATTGTTATCGTATACTTGTGAATGACAGTAACAAGATTTGTTTAAGTCTTCATCAACAATTGTAATTATTATTTTGATTGACGTTATTGTCCACGTTTCTACCAAAATTCTTGTGTTTACTTGTATGTATATTAGATTTTTCAGATGATATCATTTGGAGCCAATGTAGTGGAACTTCTAATAAGCATAGCATTTATTGGTATTCAATTGGTTTATGCACTCATAGGCAACTATCTCGCGCAAGAAATTACTGACAACAATAATAATATATTTGTAGTTATGTAAGCAAAATATTTACGTAATATAACCACATATGAGTTACACGTGTGAATGTGACAAAACGCAGAATTTTTATGTAGTTTAAGAAACATATAGTATATAAAGCATTTACAGATTCTTTTTCTTCATTAATTTGTTATGACATAGGTACGATGTCCAGTGGTACGTTGCCCCGTTGCAAATACAGAAAATGATACTGTTTGTTTTGCAAAGAGGTGCTAAGGTGTTCACGATGAATATTGCTGGAATATTTATCGGATCATTAGAAGGTGCTGCTACAGTAAGATAAATATTTTTTAAAGTTTGTGTTAGATATAAAATATATTTTGGATTGAGAAATGTAGAAAAATTATATCTTATTACAGTTGGTGAGCACTGCAGTATCCTATTTCACAGTTCTTTATTCTCTACGGAATTGATGCAAAACAAATAATAGTGCAGCAGAATTAAAATAGTGAAGAAAATAATTGGTATATTAAACACAATTTATACTATAATTGAGAAATTAGTTTTGATTAATAGTCTGGATGAAAAAATGTAAGGATTTTTAATTCTAAGAAAACTCAAAAATGTAAAGTTGTGTTTATGGAGAAAGTTATCAATAATAAATTATTAGCTCATAACATCGATGTGTAAGGCTGATTCGATTATCCTTTATTTAAATGTTTAAATAACTCTTATACACTAATAAAAAAATATTACTTTACTTAAGAAAATTATTCATTAGGTGGCTCCTAATAGCTTATTAACAATTAAATTAAAGAAATAATAAACAATTTAAAACATGCATTGCTTTAATTTAAGTATTTATTAAATATCAAAGAATAGATAATTTTTAATTAAAAAAATTTTATTTTAATTCTATAAAATGTTTACTAAGATGTAATTTTCACAGCGAAGAAAATTGTATTTCTTATTTAACAAAAACAATTATTTCATTTGATAAATAGTATTCTATATCTCATGAAATCTTTATTTGAATGTAGAAAATGTAATGATTTAAATTAATGTGCTTAATACACAGATTATAATACACAGAATTACTTGAAATGTGATTTTTTAAATTTAAGTAGAATAAATATTTACTTCAGTATAAAAAACATAATTTTAAGTAAAGCTATTTACTTAGTTAAAAAAAATTTTTGTCAATGTAAGTGCACGAATCCTAAAGCGAATAAAATGAAGCGAATATTATTATACTGAAGTTACTGAAAATTGGTGAACGTCTGCACAACTCTGTCAGGAATTTCATGCGCAGATGTATTTTCATTAGAAACAAGGTTTTATTCAATTTCTCATATTACTAAACAAGAAACAAACAAGTGTGGCCAATGCGAGTCAAGGCAGGATGTAGATAGCCTATACTTGTAATTTTTAATAAATTGTGAAGTCATATACCGTTTCTTTTTTCCACATTTGTGCAGCGCGCCGATTTCTTTTCGGATATAATACAGTTTTCTTACGGGTGGAGTTATTATCGTCAGTGAATTCTCATATTCAAATCGATAAATGATTTGTAAATTAATTTAAAAATACTACAATTTAGCATTTTTAGATGCTACATTTGGCATTCAGTCCCTCCTTCCCCGTACTGTAATTTATTTTTATTGCGAAAAATATTACCTCAGCCAAGATTCGAATTTGGGATCTCCCTCAATTCGTGACGGACGCCTCAGCCAACTCGACCACTCAGGCTGTTATAATATTGTTCGCAATAATTGGTATAATACTTATAGGATCGCTACTTTTGCAGCCCCGCGTATATATAAACATTAGAGTTAAAGTAGGACTCTCATTAAAACTAAATAAGAAACAAAAATGGCCAATGCAACTAATTCTCATATTACATTAGTCGTTTAACTACCGACTACTGTTCAGGAAAAACTGTTGAATTATTAAAGTTCTGATCAAAATAGCATTTTAAGCCGTTTTGTTTTACACTTGTGCTACATTAGATAATGTATATTAACAATAATAACAGTACATCAATGTTTCATGCTGCAGTTAACACTTTCTTGAAGCCTCACACGTAACAACAGCATACACTACAATGTAGAACGTTATAACACATTGTATTGAAAAGAAAGTTGAACTGCATCTGCGCAGTTCACTGTAACCCAAGTCTTTTCGCAAAGTATTTCCTTACGGGAAATAACATCTGTTCCCTATTATTCATAATTGGATCGATCGCTTAACTGTACATCCCTTTTGGGAAAGTGTCAATTGCCAAGTGTTTCGATCTCACGATGGTATTCATTCATAATGCATTGCATTTAAGTTGAATTAGATAATTTGTCTAAAAATTGAAATAAGAAGAAACAAAACTATACGCTATTCAGTTGGTAAAAGGGAACAGAACATGTGAACTGACAACTTCTTTGGCAATTCTATATCAATAAAGAAATGATCTGTATCAAAACTTTACATGTCAGCCTAAATCGGATTTTATTACTCATAGTTGGTCTATGGCCTTACCAACAATCTAAATTCGTCTACCTTCAAGTAATTTTATTTTTTGTCATTTTAGCAACTTTTATTCTATGTCAGGTACGTCAATATTTTATATATTATTACTGCGTAATAAAACAATTATTAAATTTTAATATGTGACGAGATTTGAACATTGCAATTAAGTATATCAAAAATAACAATAAACTTGTAGTAATGTTATTACAAACATTATGTTTATTTCGTTCTTATTTGTTTAGAATCATCAACGCTATAACATTACTTGGTTCAAATCATCAAGATATAACATGTACAGAAAATTATAATACATACTGAAAAACGATAATGATTCACCAAAATATTTAATTTCTTATCATGGAAAATTTAATTTTTATTTGAATTTTGTTTATTAAAATATTATTGTACATATTTTAAAAATAATATATATTATTAAAAATTATATATATTAAAAATATACAATATATTAAAAAGCGATCATTTCCAACCAACAATGTACTTCCTAACAAAATTTGTTAGAATTTATGAATTAAAAAGCATACTACAATAACTGAAAGCACTGAAGAACGTTTAAAAGTAATTTTACTTCCTAAGTGAATTTCTTCATTAAACAAAAGAAATGTAAAGTTTAAAAATTAATTAAATAAAACTATTTTTTGCAGCTTGCAACATTTCTTACTTTAAAATGTACCCCGGATTTAATCATCAACGTTCTGTCTTCTACATTATTTTTTGCTACATTTATTATTAAATATATTTCGTTTAGTATTAATACTAAAATGGTAAGTAAAACGAACCGTGTATCATGAATTGTACATACATCTGAATACAAATAAATCTTTATTAAATAGTAATATAAACCTTAATATATATAATAAAAATCCAATTTTTCCAAATTTTAACAAAGATACAAATGACGTAGAAATTTGTTGAAAGGTTAAACATTTATTGGAACAAATGCAGCATATGTATAACGAGTTAACTGACGAAAATGAACTGAATATCATAACAAAATATAGTAATTATGCGAGACATTACACAATTACATTGTTAAGTAAGAAAATTTGCTTTTGTTATACACAACTTATATTTGCAAGTTAATTAATAAATTCTAATGAATTCATTTATGAAGTAAAATTGCTTTTAAATGTTCTTCAGTGCTTTTAGTATCCGTGCTGTTCCTCATAACTTTTTGTTTATTTTGGCCGCACATTTTCAATCTCTTGTTCTTCTTAAACGAAACTCGATCATGTTCTTCGTTGCCGGTTATAACTGAATATTTCATTGATCAAGAAAAATATGTCTATTTTATATTGTTCCACACGTACGCAGCCTACATCATAGGCGCTATCACAATGCTAGCGACAGGAACATTGCTTATAGTTTGTCTACAGCATGCGTGTGGATTGTTTCATATCGCTAGGTAAAAAAACAAACATAAAACATATGTAGAAAATTAGAAAATATAGAGGACTATGTAAGTTTGACAGAAGAATCATTTGCAGTTATCGCGTCGAACAAGCAATGGGATTCGAGATATTACGAAAAAACAGTTGGAAAAAGGAGAAATTAATTTACAAAGGATTAATCTATGCCGTTGACATGCATCGCAAAGCTATGAAGTTAGAATCTATATAATAATAATTATTGAATATGTGTAACGATAAATAATGTGTATGCAATATACATGATGTAATAATGTCTTATGTCTCTTGAAGGTTTTCTGATTTGATGCTGTCAAAATTTAAAGTAATGTTCGCCTTTTTGATAATATTTAATATTATTTGCACAAGTCTTAATTTTTTTCGGGTAATTATGGTCTTTATTGTACCATATACTTATGTTTAACTAAGACTAGTTATATATAATACTAAATAAATTTTTATTCACAGTTCTAATTAGTCATCATTTTGTTTACCATTATTGAATAGTTTCTATCAAGATTTTTAGTACGCTTGTATTATAGATTTTTCAGGTAATATCATTTGATTTCAATACTGTGGAAATTTTATTACGCATACTATATATAATTGTTGATATAGTGTATGTAATGGTAGCCAATTATCTAGGGCAAGAAATTTTGGATCACAATAATGATGTATATATTTCTGTGTAAGGAAGATATCCAGATGATATGATACACGCACACACATATTTATCTTGCAATGTACTATAATAACAAAAACTTTTATTTAATTAAAAAGCACTTATACATATGTAGAGATGCCGCTACAAACAATGAGCCAGATTTATTCTCTATTTTTTATATTTTTCTAATTAATAATTCGATGTGATACAGGTACAAGGTTCAATGGTATATGGCTCCATTACAAATACAGAAGTTGATTCTATTCCTGTTACAAAGAAGTACTAAAGCGTACACTATGAATATTGCTGGATTGTTTGTGGGATCATTAGAAGGTGCAGCTACGGTAAAAATATGTTAATCTTAAACATAATTTATGTTATAAATAGGAAAAAACAGAAAAGAATCTATCTTATTATAGATGCTGAGTACCATGTTATCATATTTCACTGTCCTTCATTCTACGCAAAATTAAAACAAAATGGATTAATTAAATGTACTGTAAAATAACATATGATCAAATTGATTACAAACAAGTAAAATTGCGTATTATCTTGAAAAACAAAGAAGTGACAAATAAGAAGCACTACAAACAAATGAGGTACAACAAGTATATCTGCACAACTATTTATAATGAAATACTTGTTGAAGAATTATATTTTTCTTTTCTGAGTAATAAATATCCATTTGATGACTTTACATTATATTGATAGCTTAATCATCCTACTCCCAGTTTCTTATATTCCTGAAAGGTCGGTGGTACCAGTCACAGGGTATTTTGTGTTGCATTTGATGTAGTATTAAATTTGGTGATTTATATTAAAAAATAAATTAGATTCTTCTAAAGAATACTTCTACCTTATTATATCTTATATCTTATTTTACTATGTATTCTTTAGACTAAATGGTAAACTTAATTGTGTGCAATGTTGACGTGTTTAAGCTTTACTTATAATATTATAAATTAATTATCAAAATCAACTCTTCAACAGTTCACACTTTAAATTATTACTTGATAAGATTGTCATTAAAAAATATAAATTTTGATTGAACAGAAGCAATTAATATCATAGTATAAAATTATTAATTCCTACAACTTTTTAAAATTGATAATAGCATTGTATGTAAAGGAAGCGTTTTTTCTTATTAACTGATATACTGATGTTACAAATATTTAACACAGGTTATTAAAAATTCAGAACATTTATAACAAATTTTTTTTCAAAACCAGTGTTAAGAAATACAATTAAACAATTTTCATATTTCGTGACATTTTGTATTTCTAATTCTCGAATGTTATATGAAGTCCTTACGACACGCTAATAGTTAATAATCTCTTAGTCAAAAGATCTGTGTTATCCTGAGGTTAGCATTATTAGAACAATATTATCTGAAAGTAAATTATGAGTTGAGTATCGTATAGACTAGGAGTTTTTAGTTGACGAACAAATAAAGACGTAGGAATGTAGAAAATAAAATTTTAGAAACACAAATGTATATTCAATAAGAAATTGCATAATATTTACCAACAATGTTTATTAACAATAATAGTTACATCAATGTTTCATGCTGCAATTGACACTTTCTTGAAAACTCAAACATACTTCAACAGCATACACTAGAATGAAGTACTTTATAATACATTACATTGGAAAGAAGCTCGAACTGTATCTGCGCAGTCCACTGTATCCCAAGTCCCTTTACAACTAATTTTCTTACGGGAAATAACATCTGTTCCCCATTATTGCTATAACCGGATCGATCGCTTAACTGTAAAAGTGTCAATTTCCAAGTGTTTCGATCTCAAGGTAGTGTTCATTAATTTTGCATTGCATTCAAGTTGAATTAGATAATTTGTCTAAAAAATTCAAATAAAACAGAAACACAGCTACAGGTTATTCAATTGGCAAAAAGGAAGAAAACACGTGAACTGATCACTTCTTTGTCAATTCTACATCAATGAAGAAATGATCTGTATCAAAACTCTGCATGTTAGCCTAAACCGGTTTCTCCTACTCGCAGTTGGCCTATGGCCTTACCAACAATCTAATTTTGTTCGACTCCAACTAATTTTATATCCTGGTATTTTGGCAAGTAGTATTCTATGTCAGGTAATATTTTATATCAACATTGACGTAACGTAAATATTTTTTCTTATTACTGCATAATAAAAGATTTATTAAATATTACTTTATGACGAAATTTGAACATTGTAAATTAAATATATAAGAAATCACAATAAGATCGTATTAATGTTATTAAGAGCCTTATGTTAATTTCGTTTTTATTTGGTTAGAATTACAAAGATTTATATTATATTACTTACAATTAGTTAGAATCATCATAAATATACACAGCATTATAATAATGACATACTTAAAAACTATAACAAAACACAAAAATATTTAATTTTTTTATTACGAAAAATTTATAATAATATTTGTTTGAATTAGTGTTTATTTATGTTATTAAATTATTATATGTATATGTATATTAAAAAGCATACAATAATTTCCATCGAACAATTACCTCAATGGACAAAAAATGTTGACATCAAGAATTATTTGACGTCAGCAAATGACTAAATATGATAAAGCAGTTAATCAAGAAATGTTAATGTTAATAAAGGTCATTATATAAATCTATTTTTTGCAGCTTACAACATTTATTACTTTAAAATGTACTGTGGATTTAGTCGTTAACGTTTTGTCCTCTGCATTATTTTTTGCTATATTTGTTACTAATTATATTTCGTTTGGTATTAACACCAAAATTGTAAGTAAAACAAACCTTATATTATGTATTGTATAATACATTTAGATACAAATATTTTTAAAATAGTATTGTAACATAAACTTTAATATATGTATAACGAAAATATAATTTTTCCCATTTCTAACAAAGAGACAAATAATAAATATAGAAATTTATTAAAAGGTAAAATATTTGTTGGGGCAATTGCAGCACATATGTAACGAGTTAACTGACGAAAATGAACTCAATATCATAACAAAGTACAGTAATTATGCGAGATATTACACAATTACATTGTTATGTAAGAAAATTTGCTTTCGTTATATATAATTATATGTGCAAGTGAATTAATGAATTATAACAAATTTATTTATGAAGTAAAATTTCTTGTAAATATTTTTCAGTGCTTTTAGTGCTTGTGGTATTCTTTTTAATCAATAAATACTAACAAATTTATTTCTGAAGAAAATTACTTTTAAATGTTGTTCAGTGCTTTTAGTGTTCGGGATGTTCGTTATAACTTTATGTTTATTTTGGCCACACATTTTCGAAATCTTGCTCTTCATAAACGGAACCCGATCATGTTCTTCGTTCCCGCTTATGACTGAATATTTCATTGATCAAGAAAAATATATCAATTTTATATTGTTCCACACGTACGCAGCCTATACCATAGGCATTACCACAATGATAGCGACAGGAGCTTTGCTTATAGTTTGTCAACAGTATGCGTGTGGCATGTTTCATATCGCTAGGTAAAAAACAAACATAAAATGGAATGTAGAAAATTTGAAAAATTAAAGGACTATGTAAGTTTGACAGAAGAATCACTTGCAGTTATCGTGTCAAACAAGCAATGGCATTCGAGATGTTACTAAAAAACAACTGGAAAAGTGAGAAAGTGATTTATAAAGGATTAATCTATGCCGTTGACATGCATCGCAAAGCTATGAAGTTAGAATCTATATATTAATAATAATACAATATTTCTAACAATAAATTTATCACATATAAAATAGAATACACGTAAAGTAATATCTTGTGTCTCTTGAAGGTTGTCTGACTTGACAGTGTCTAAATTTAAAGTAATGTTCTCCTTTATGATATTATTTGGTGTGCTTAGCGCAAGTCTTACTGTTTTTCGGGTAATTACAGTCTTTTTGGTACCATGTATTAACTAAGGTTAGGTATATATGTATAACAATAAATTTTCATTGACAGTTGTCAGTAATCTTCATTTCGTTTGATATTATTGATTAGTATCTATCATGATTCTGAGTACGTTTGTATTATAGATTTTTCAGATAATATCATATGGATTCGAAAATGTGGAAGTTTTATTACGCATATTATATATAACCATAGAATTTGTGTATATAATGGTAGGCAATTATCTTGCGCAAGAAATTATAGATCACAGTAATGACGTCTACATTTCCGTGTAAGCGAGATATTCAGATGATTCGATTATACATATATACACATATTAATCTTGCAATGTTCTACATTAACAAAAACCTATCATTTAAATAAAAAGCAACTTTACATATGTATAGGTATTCGTTATAAACAACGAGCAAGACTCATTATTTAGTTTTTCACATTTCTCTAATTAATAATTCGGTGTGATACAGGTACAAGGTTCAATGGTATATGGCTCCATTACAAATACAGAAGTTGATTTTATTCCTGTTGCAAAGAGGTACCAAGGTGTTTACTATGAATATTGCTGGATTGTTTGTGGGGTCTTTAGAAGGTGCAGCTACGGTAAAAATATGTTAATCTTTAACATATTTTATATTTTCAACAAAAAAAAAAATATTACATCTTATTACAGTTGCTGAGTACCGTGCTATCATATTTCACTGTTCTTCATTCTACGCAACGTTAAAATAAAATGGATTAATTAAAGGTACTATAAAGTAACATGTGATAATAATGATTATAAACAAGTAATATGGTTCTTAGTTGGAAAGAAAAAAGAAGTGATTAATAAGTTGCACTACAAACAAATGAAGTATAACAAGTATATTTGCACAACTATTTATAATGAAATACTTGTTGAAGAATTATATTTTTCTTTTCTGAGTAATAAATATCCATTTGATGACTTTATATTATATTAGATTCTTCTAAAGAATACTTCTATCTTATTATATCTTATATCTTATTTTACTATTCTTTAGACTACATGAAATGTAAACTTAGTTGTATGTAATGTTGATGTGTTTAAGCTTTACTTAAATTAATTTACTAAAATTCAATCTTAAAGAGTCTACACTTTAAATTATTACTTGATAAAATTATCATTAAAAAATAGAAATTTTGATTGAACAGAAGCAGTTAATATCATACTATAAAATTATTAATTCCTACAACTTTTTTAAATTGATAGTAGCATTTTATGTAAAGGAAGCGTTTTTTCTTATTAACTGATATAATGATATTACAAATATTTAACAGAGGTTATTAAAAATTCATGACATTTATAACAAATTTCTTCTTTTCAAAACCAGTGTTAAGAAATACAATTAAAAAAATTTTTATTTCGTGACATTTTGTATTTCTAATTCTCGATGTTATATGAAGGTCGCTCTATGAAGTTGGCACCTCAACTCTCTGCACCGCAAGTTTTCATGCAAGTTCTATTTGCACCGGCAATAGTTCTACAGTTCCTGATAGATAATATTAATAGTTCCATCGAAATAGATATAAAAACAGCCATTTTAAAAAATGAGGTGCTAACTTTTCGTGGCACCTCATTTTCCGAAAAACACGATTTCAACTATGGAATCTTATAGTTCTCGAAGAGTTCTACAGTTCCTGATAAGTTTTACACAGAGTTCTGCCTTGTAACTATGCTAGAACTGTCGAGAACTGTCAAAAAATGAATCCAAACAACCAGCACCCCATACTTTTAGAAAATGAGGTGCCAGCGGTCAGATTGAAAAATTGTTTAAAAATGTTTATCGGCCGGAACTATTGCTAAAATGTACGGAAATGGTCGGAACTATGCTAGAACTGTCGAGAACTGTGAAAAAACTGCTCAGAAATACCAGCACCCCATACTTTTAGAAAATGAGATGCCAGCGGTCAGATTGAAAAATTGTTAAAAAATGTTTACAAGGCAGAACTCTGTGTAAAACTTATCAGGAACTGTAGAACTCTTCGAGAACTATAAGATTCCATAGTTGAAATCGTGTTTTTCGGAAAATGAGGTGCCACGGGAAATTAGCACCTCATTTTTTGAAATGGCTGTTTTTATATCTATTTCGACGGAACTATTAATATTATCTATCAGGAACTGTAGAACTATTGCGGGTGCAAATAGAACTTGCATGAAAACTTGCGGTGCAGAGAGTTGAGGTGCCAACTTCACAGCGACTATATGAAGTCCTTACGACTCTATTAGTTAACACAGGACCTATGTTATACTGAGGTGGAGGTCTCAACTCAAAGGTATCAGCTGTATTAGAACAATATTACCTGAAAGTAAACGATGAGTTGAGTATCGTGTAGACTAGGAGTTTAGTGGACAAACCAATAAAGATGTAGGAATGTATAATAGAAAATGAAATTTTCGAAACACAAGCATACAAAACACATACACAATTATATTCAATAAGAAATTACATAATATTTACCACCATTGTATTTTAATAACAGTTACTTCAATCTTTTAAACTGAACAAGTGACACTTTTACTTACACGTACCAACAACATAGACTACAATAAAGAACGTTATAACACAGTGTATTGAAAAGAAAGTTGAACTGCATCTGCGCAGTCCGCTATAACCCAAGTCTTTCCGCCAAGTATTTCCTTATGGGAAATAACATCTGTTCCCCATTATTGCCATAATCGGATCGATCGTTTAACTGTACATACCTTTCGGAAAAGTGTCAATTGCCAAGTGTTTCGATCTCACGGTGGTATTCATTTATATTGCATTGCATTTAAGTTGAATTAGATAATTTGTCTAAAAATTCAAACAAAAAAGAAACAAAGCTATATGTTATTCAATTGGCAAAAGGGAAGATAACACGTGAACTGATCACTTCTTTGTCCATTCTACATCAATGAAGAAATGATCTGTATCAAAACTCTACATGTTAGCCTAAACCGGTTTCTCCTACTCGCAGTTGGCCTATGGCCTTACCAGCAATCTAATGTCGTTCGACTCCAACTAATTTTATTTTGTGGTATTTTGGCAACTTTTATTCTATGTCAGGTACGTCAATATTTTTTGTTATTACTACATAACAAAAGAATTATTCAATTTTAATTTGTGACGAAATTTGAACATTGTAAATTAAATATATACAAAATCACAATAAGATCGTAGTAATGTTATTAAGAGCGTTGTGTTTATTTCGTTTTTATTTGGTTAGAATCACAAGTATATAACATTACTTACAATTTGTTAGAATCATCAAAGATATACACAGCATTATAATAATGACATAAAACATGCTGAAAAATTAACAAAACAAAAATATTTAATTTCTTATTACGGAAAATTGAATATCGGTGTGAATTATTTTTTTAATTTACGTTTATTAAATTATTATTGTATATGTATATTAAAAAGCATACAATAATTTCCATCTAACAATTCCCTTGATGGACAAGAAATGTTAATGTTAATAAAGGTCATTATATAAAACTATTTTTGCAGCTTACAACATTTATTACTTTAAAATGTACTGTGGATTTAGTCGTCAACGTTCTGTCTTCTACATTATTTTGTGCTATATTTGTTACTAAATATATTTCGTTTGGTATTAATACCAAAATCGTAAGTAAAACAAACCTCATATTATGTATTCTACATTTAAATATAAATATTTATAAAATATTAACATAAACTTTAATATATAATAAAAACAATTTTCCCAAGTTTAACAAAGAGACAAATAATAAATATAGAAATTTGTTAAAAGGTAAAATTTTTGTTGGGGCATTTGCAGCACATATATAACGGGTTAACCGACGAAAATGAACTCAATATCATAACGAAGTACCGTAATTATGCGAGACATTACACAGTTACATTGTTATGTATGAAATTTGCTTTTTTTATACACAACTTACATTTGCAAAGGGAAAATTTTCTTAAAAGTCAACCAGACTAGCAAAAAGGTGATATTTATTTATGTCACAAGGTTTCGACCTCTTATCGGGATCTTTTCAAGTGCAATACAATCTGGAAATTACAAATGCTCAAAACGCAATACAAAGTAAAGAACTTTAAGTATGTACAAAGTAAGAAAATAACTAATGTTGACTGAAAACATTAATTTATGTCGAAGCAGAATGAGTTCATAAGTCTGTGGCAGCAAATTTATAATATCATATCTGAAATTATTACGGGTAAAGATAAATAAATAAGTTAACTCTTACACTTAACTTATTAATTAATTAATTAATTTCTCTGACTTATTATCTTACTATTTATCTATTTGTGTTTGTTTATCTTTACCCGTAATAATTTCAGATATGATATTCATGAATTTTTCTGTCAACATTAAATATTTTTCTTCTTTGTACATACTTAAAGTTTTTTTCTACGTATTGCGTTTTGAACATTTGTTTTTTTACCAAATTCTGCTTGAAAAATGTGACTTAAATAAAGATCATTTTTTGCCAGTCTGGTCGACTTCGAAAATCTTTTCTCTTTGTTTAATTACCATTGGCGGCAATAAGCTTCACTTAATTTTGTTATATTTGCCAGTTAATTAATAAATTATAACAAATTCATTTATGAAGTAAAATTTATTTTTAATGTTTTTCGGTGCTTTTAATGATCGCGGTATTCGTTTTAATCAACAAATACTAACAAATTTATTTCTGAAGTAATATTATTTTTAAATGTTCTTCAGTGCTTTTAGTGTGCGTGATGTTCGTTTTAACTTTATGTTTATTTTGGCCACACATTTTTGATACCTTCTTCTTCATAAACGGAACTCAATCATTTCCTTCGTTGCCACTTATGGCTGAATATTTCATTGATCAAGAAAAATATGTCTATTTTGTATTGTTCCACATGTACGCAGCCTATGTCATAGGCGGTACCACATTGTTAGCGACAGGAACATTGTTTATAGTTTGTCAACAGCATGCGTGCGGAATGTTTCGAATTGCTAGGTAAGAGAATAAACATAAAACAGACAGTAGACAATTTGGAAAATTGGAAAATAAGAGGCCTATGTAAGTTTGGCAGAAGAATCACTTGCAGTTATCGTGTCGAACAAGCAATGGCATTCGAGATGTTACGAAAAAACAACTGGAAAACTGAGAAAGTGATTTATAAAGGATTAATCTATGCCGTTGACATGCATCGCAAAGCTATGAAGTTAGAATCTATATATTAATAATAATACAATATTTCTAATAATAAATTTATCACATATAAAATAGAATACACGTAAAGTAATAACTTGTGTCTCTTAAAGGTTGTCTGACTTGACATTATCTAAATTTAAAGTAATGTTCGCCTTTTTGATATTATTTGGTGTGCTTAGCGCAAGTCTTAATGTTTTTCGGGTAATTACAGTCTTTTTGTACCATGTATTAACTAAGGCTAGGTTACATATACTTGGTGAATAAGAAGTACCGGACCGGTGAAATAGTTCGAAAAATATGCGAGATAAGAAAAAAATGTTTCAAACAAAAGTTGTACTGTTTTAAAAGGGCTATATGTATAATGGTAAAATAAATTTAAAAAAGTAAATTTTTTATGGTTACTGGAGGTTTCCACCATTTTTGAAATGGAACCCCCTATTTCCGATTAAACTTTCTTGTAGCTGACGTCGAGACCTTTTCGAAACACTACGAAACAATACAATCTCTTTTTGATTAAGTTTTTTTTCGAGATGTGAGTTGGCAATGTTCAGGTATCGTTGGTATTAGCACTACCGTGTGAAGGCGATAGGCAGTAGACCATGCGACAGACAGCTGGTTATATCAAGAGGTATGTGACTTCTTAAATTTTCTTAAATAAAATTTTAACTTGTGAAATCCAATTTTAAATATCGCCCACGCAGTCGATCATGTAAATCTGCTAATGCCAGCGGTACTTGGACTATGTCAACTCATATCTGGAAAAGTACTTAACTAAAAAAAATTTATCTGTAGTGTTTTGAAAAGGTCCCACAGTCAGCTACAAGAATATGTAATTAGAAATAGGGGTCTTTATTTAAAACAGTGGCGGCGACCTCCACATAACCATAAAAAATTTACTTTTTCAAAAATGTATTTTACCATTATATAGTCCTTTTAAAACCGTATAACTTTTGTCTGAAACATTTTTCCGTATCTCCCATACTTTTCGAGATATTTCACCTGTCCGGTACTTTTTACTCACTCTTTGTGTATAATAATAAATTTTCATTGACAGTTGTCAGTAATCGTTATTTTGTTTGATATCATTGACTAGTATCTATCAAGATTCTGAGTACGCTTGTATTATAGATTTTTCAGGTGATATCACTTGGAGTCGATAGTGTGGAAATTTTATTACGCATAATATATATTATTATTGATTTTGTGTATATAATGCTAGCCAATTATCTTGCGCAAGAAATTATGGATCACAGTAATGATGTATATGTTTCCGTGTAAGGAAGATATCCATACGATATGATTATATACACATATTTATTCTGCGATGTACTACAATAACATAACCTTCCATTCAATTAAAGAGCAACTTTACATATGTGTAGATATTTGTTATAGACAACGAGCAAGGCTCATTCTTTAGTTTTTTAATATTTCTCTAATTAATGATTCGTTGTAATACAGGTACAAGGTTCAATGGTATATGGCTCCGTTACAAATACAGAAGTTGATTCTATTCCTGTTGCAAAGAGGTACCAAGGTGTTTACTATGAATATTGCTGGAATGTTTGTGGGATCTTTAGAAGGTGCAGCTACGGTAAAAATATGTTAATCTTTAACATATTTTATATTTTTAACAGAAAAACAAAAAATAGTCCATTTTATTACAGTTGCTGAGTACCGTGCTATCATATTTCACTGTCCTTTATTCTACGCAACGTTAAAACAAAATGGATTAAAGGGGAGTTTGCTTATTGTCACCAGTAATGATTAAAAATTGAGACGGGAAACTTATAGTCAACCCAACTGACTAGTTATTTTATTAGTTTATTACACAACGTTTCGACCCTATTTTTTGGAGGGTATTTTTCAAGTGGTACTAAGTTAGTCATCGTCGTCGAATAAGAAACAGAGTCGAGTTATAAAATATACGCATACGTGTAAGCACTGTGATTGCTGGGCTCGAACATTCGATATTTTATAATTGGACTCTGTCTTATTCGGCGGCGATGAGTGACTTAGTACTACTTGAAAAGGACCCAAAAAATAGGGTCGAAACGTTGTGTAATAAACTAATAAAATAACCAGCCAGTTGGGTTGACTATAAGTTTCCCGTCTCAAAATGGATTAATTAAAGGTACTATGAAATAACATGTGATAATAATGATTGTAAACAAGTAATATTGGCTATTATTTGGTAAGAAAGAGAGGTAATTAATAAGTTGCAATACAAACAGTTATATTGATTACTCAATCGTCCTATTCTCAGTCTCTTATATTCCTGAGAGGCTAGTGTTCCAATCTCATGGTAATTTGTGTTGTATTTTACGTCGCATTAAATTTGGTGATTTATATTAAAAAAGAAATTATATTCTTCTACCTTATTATGTCTTATATCTTATTTTACTATTCTTTATACTACATGGTAAAATTAATTATATGCAATGTGTTGACGTGTTTAAGTTTTATTTAAATTAATTAATTAAAATCAAATCTTAAAGAGTTCGCACTTTAAATTATTACTTGATAAGATTATTATGTAAAAAAATAAAAATTTCGATTGAATAGAAGAAATTAATATCATAGTATAAAAGTATTGATTACTACACAATTTTTTTAAATAGATAGTATTGTATGTAAAGTGAGCGTTTTATTGATTAACTGATATACTGATAGTAAAAATATTTACAAACAGGTTAATAAAACTGCATAACTTTAATAATAAATTTCTTCTTTTCAAAACCAGTGTTAAGAAATACAATTAAAAAATTTTCATATTTCATGACATTTTGTATTTTTAATTCTCGATGTTATATGAAGTCCTTACGACACGCTAATAGTTAACAATCTCTTAGTCAAAAGATCTATGTTATCCTGAGGTTAGTATTATTAGAACAATATTATCTGGAAGTAAATGATGAGTTGAGTATCGTATAGACTACAAGTTTTTAGTTGACGAACAAATAAAGATGTAGGAATGTAGAAAATAAAATTTTGGAAACATAAATGTATATTCAATAAGAAATTGCATAATATTTACCAACAATGTATATTAACAATAATAGTTACATCAATGTTTCATGCTGCAATTGACACTTTCTTGAAAACTCAAACATACTTCAACAGCATACACTAGAATGAAGTACTTTATAATACATTACATTGGAAAGAAGCTCGAACTGTATCTGCGCAGTCCACTGTATCCCAAGTCCCTTTACAACTAATTTTCTTACGGGAAATAACATCTGTTCCCCATTATTGCTATAACCGGATCGATCGCTTAACTGTAAAAGTGTCAATTTCCAAGTGTTTCGATCTCAAGATAGTGTTCATTAATTTTGCATTGCATTCAAGTTGAATTAGATAATTTGTCTAAAAAATTCAAATAAAACAGAAACACAGCTACAGGTTATTCAATTGGCAAAAAGGGAGAAAACACGTGAACTGATCACTTCTTTGTCAATTCTATATCAATGAAGAAATGATCTGTGTCAAAACTCTACATGTTAGCCTAAATCGATTTTTATTGCTCGCAGTTGGGCTATGGCCTTACCAACAATCTAATTTCGTTCGACTCCAACTAATTTTATTTTTTAGTATTTTGGCAAGTAGTATTCTGTGTCAGGTACGTCAATATTTTTTTTGTTATTACTGCATAACAAAAGAATTATTAAATTTTAATTTATAACGAAATTTGAACATTGTAAATTAAATATATAAAAAATCACAATAAGATCGTAGTAATGCTATTAAGAGCCTTGTAGTTATTTCGTTTTTATTTGGTTATAATCACAAAGATATAACATTACTTGCAAATAGTTTGAATCATGAAAGGTATACACAGCATTAGAAAAAGTACATACTGAAAAACTATATAACAAAACACAAAATATTCAATTTCTCATTATAAAAAATTCAATAGTTGTTTGAATTATTTATTTTTATTTGTATTTATTAAATTATTATATATATTAAGAAGCATACAATAATTTCCAACTAACAATTGCCTCAATGGACAAGAAATGTTAATGTTAATAAAGGTTATTATATAAAATCTATTTTTTGCAGCTTTCAATGTTTATTACTTTAAAATGTACTCTGAATTTAGTCATCAACGTTCTGTCTTCTGTATTATTTTTTTCTATGTATGTTATTAAATATATTTCGTTTAGTATTAACACCAAAATCGTAAGTAAAGCGAACTTTATATTATGTATTGTACAATTAAATTTCAATGTTTATAAAATATATTAATATAAACTTTAATATATAATGAAAATAATTTTTCCAATTTTAACAAAGAGATAAATAATAAATATAGAAATTTGTTAAAAGGTAAAATATTTGTTGGAGTACTTGCAGTACATATGTAACGAGTTAACTGACGAAAATGAACTCAATATCATAGTAAAGTACCGTAATTATGCGAGACATTACACAATTACATTGTTATGTAAGACAATTTGCTTTTGTTATACACAATTTATATTTGCAAGTTAATTAGTAAATGACAAATACAAAGTAATAACATATTTATTAGAGGATGTTAATGTCTACCTAATTTTAATTTCTAAATTTATTGCGAAAAATTTACATTAGCCAGGGTTTGAACCTGGATCTCCCTCTTACTAGGTGGGCGTCTCATGCGTTCCTTGGTCGAATGGGTGAAACGTCCGTCTAGTGAAAGGGGGATCCAGGTTCAAATGCCGTCTAAGGTAAAATTTTTACAATATATTTAAAAATTAAAATCATTTAGACCAGTGCTGTCTACAATTTGCACTTTTCGGCCGATTTTCGCGAGTCACCGCCTATCGCCCCCTACTAGAGTCACTTGACAACCGTAATGAAGCGCGCGGCGTTTAACTTCAGGTACGGCGTATTTGTAATGCGATGTCGTTGCGTGCTCCTGGACTGCCGAATGTCAGTTTTTGAAAGGTGAAACTTAGGTAACGTGGAAATTTATTATTAAAAATACTCTTATAAATGTAATTAATAATCGAGTATTAAAAGTTTCTTATTGAATTAATTATGTAAAAAGATTTTAAACAAATTACGTTTCAAAAACTGACAGTCAAGGGGCACTCAATGGCATCGCATTACAGATAAGTTAACTAAAGCCAACGGCACACGATACTATTTTTCCTACTGGATTGCTTACGAGAGCCAATTGGGATGCAGAGTTTTCGATCAGGTGACTCAAAGCTGAATCTTGATTGGCTTTCGTAAGGAATCTAGTAGGAAAAATAGTATTGTTTGCCGTTGGCTTAATACACCGTATACCTTAAATACACCTGAAGCTGAGCGCCGCGCGCATGGTTACGGTTGTAAAGTGACTCGAGGGGCAATAGGCGGTGACTCGCAAAAATCGGCAGAAAAATGCAAATCGGACAGCTCTGAATTTAGACACTAACATCCTATCTTGCCTCTTACATCCTTTATTACTTCATATTTGTGATTTTACATCAGAGACTTATAAATTTTATTTGTTTAATTAATAAATTATAACAAATTCATTTATGAAGTAAATTACCTTTTAAATGTTCTTCAGTTCTTTTAGTGATCGTGGTATTCTTTTTAATCAATAAGTTCTAACAAATTTATTTATAAAGTAAAATTACTTTTACATGTTCTCCAGTGCTTTTAGTGTTCGTGATGTTCGTTTTAACTTTATGTTTATTTTGGCCACACATTTTCGATATCTTGTTCTTCATAAACGGAACTCGATCACGGTCTTCGTTGCCGCTTATGGCTGAATATTTCATTGATCAAGAAAAATATGTCTATTTTATATTGTTTCACATGTACGCGGCTTATGCCATAGGCTGTACCACATTGTTAGCGACTGGAACATTGTTTATAGTTTGTCAACAGCATGCGTGCGGAATGTTTCGAATTGCTAGGTAAGAGAATAAATATAACATAAAACAGACAGTAGAAAATTTGGAAAATTAAAAAATAAGAGGCCTATGTAAGTTTGGTAGAAGAATCACTTGCAGTTATCGTGTCGAACAAGCAATGGCATTCGAGATGTTACGAAAAAACAACTGGAAAAGTGAGAAACTGATTTATAAAGGATTAATCTATGCCGTTGACATGCATCGCAAAGCTATGAAGTTAGAATTTATATATCAAGAATAATACATTATTTGTAACAATCAATTTATCACATATAGAATACACGTAAAGTAATATCTTGTGTCTCTTGAAGGTTGTCTGACTTGACGATATCTAAATTTAAAGTAATGTTCTCCTTTTTGATATTATTTGGTGTGCTTAGCGCAAGTCTTAATGTTTTTCGGGTAATTACAGTCTTTTTTGTACCATGTATTAACTAAGGCTAGATATATATGTATAATAATAAATTTTCATTGACAGTTGTCAGTAATCGTCATTTTGTTTGATATCATTGACTCTTATCTATCATGATTCTGAGTACGCTTGTATTATAGATTTTTCAGGTAATATCATTTGAATTCGATAGTGTGGAAATTTTATTACGCATATTGTATATAATTATTGAATTTGTGTATATAATGCTAGCCAATTATCTTGCGCAAGAAATTATGGATCACAATAATGATGTATATGTTTCCGTGTAAGGAAAATAATATCTAGATGATATGATTATATGTACGCATAGTTATCCTGCGATGTACTACAATAACAAAAACTTTTATTCAACTAAAAAGCAACTTTATATACGTGTAGATATTCGATATAGACAATGAGCAAGACTCATTCTTTAGTTTTTTCATGTTCCTCTACTTAATTAATAATTCTTCGTGATACAGGTACAATGTTCAATGGTATATGGCTCCATTACAAATACAGAAGTTTATTTTATTCCTGTTGCAAAGAAGTACCAAGGTGTTTACTATGAATATTGCTGGATTGTTTGTGGGGTCTTTAGAAGGTGCAGCTACGGTAAAAACATGTTAATCTTTAACATATTTTATATTTTATACAGAAGAAACATACAATAGTCTATCTTATTATAGTTGCTGAGCACCGTGCTATCATATTTCACTGTCCTTTATTCTACGCAACGTTAAAACAAAATGGTTTAATTAAAGATACTATAAAGTATAACATGCGATAAGAATGATTACAAATAATTAATACTGGCTATTATTTGGAAAGAAAAAGGGGTGATTAATAAGTTGCACTAAAAACAAATGAGGTATAACGAATATATTTGCGCAACTATTTGTAATGAAATATTTTCTCAAGTATTATATTTTTGCTTGTCTGAGAAATAAACATTTGTTCGATAATCTTACATTATATTGATCACTTTGTTGTCTTATTCTCACAATCAGTTTCCAAGATTACTACAAGTGTTCCGATCTCACGGTAATTTTTTGTTGTGTTTTATTTTGCATTAAAGTAGGCTATTTACATTAGTAATTAGATTAGATAAGTAATGTAATGCGTAATAGACTAATTGAAAGAGCAAGAATACACCGATTCATTTGCTGTTACCTGTATCTGCATTATCGTGAAGAAATAAGGTGCATCTACTATTTACATATTGGTCACAATTGATTTCTGCTACGTACAGTTTGTCTATGACTTTATCAGCAGTCTAAACTCATTCAATATCAAATAATTTTAGTTGATATTGATAAAAGTGATTATAAACAAATAATTTTGACTGGTAGGGTAAGGTAATCAAATTCAGTTGAATTGTTGTGGAATGGTTGTGGAATGTTTCGAATTGTCAGGTAAGAATATAAATATATTGTAAAACCAAATATAAAAAATGCAAATTTAGTGAAACTATAACTATGAGAAATCACTTGCAGTTATCGTATTAAACGAGCGATAACAATTAAAACTCTGCAAAGAAACAGCTTGAAGAATGATAATTTGCTTCTCAAAGAATTAATTTATGCTGTGGATACGCATAGAAAAGCTATGAAGTTGGTATTCATACAAGAGTAGTTACATAATATTTGTAATAATTGATAATGCGGATAGAATATGAGTAATGCCCTCTTTCTCTTGAAGATTCTCCGAGTTGATAGTATCTAAATTTCAAGTAATGTTCTCCCTTTCGATAGCAGTCGGCGTGGTTTGTGAGAGTTTGAATTTTTGTCGGGTACATATTGTCTTTCTTTGAGAGTATATTTTATAACAATAACAGGACCAATTGCTATCAAATTGGTAATTATTTAGATTTACACCTCAAACATGGGATAGGTAAGGTTATATCTCCGTGAGGTAAAGCCCCTCTCCCTAAGGAGGAGTAGAAACACACAGTCTTCGTGCATGTGCTTTGTAAAAAAAACAAAGTTACATATAAACACGTATTCTATGAAATACAAACACCAACCGACGGCTAAAACTTTTTGAATCACTCAGGGTCATGACCGTGACAATATATTATGTGTATATTAAATTTATCGAAATTGGAAGGTGTCCGTAAATCTAAATAATTATCATCAAATTTTGATCAAGAGTTCTAAATAATCGTTATTTTGTTTATTATAAATTTCGTTTTATAAAAGTTTTACGACGTGCATTAAGATGCTTGTATTTTAGATTTTACAGCTAGCATCTCTTAAAAGTGATATTAATGAACTTCTGTTACGATTCCTATTTATCTACGTTCATGTAGTGTACGCGTTTATAGGAAACTATCTCGGGCAAGAAATTATGGATCATAATAATAATATATTTGTAACAATGTGAGGATAATATTCATGTAATAGAATTACATGTATTTATATCTATCAATATAGTAACAAAAATACAATTAATATATTCAGGAACGTATGTTAAATTTGTTAGCGAATTTTTTAAGTATTTCTCAATTATTTTAATTTGTTACGATATAGATATAACATCCAATGGTACCTAGCTCCGTTACAAGTACAAAAAATGATACTGTTTGTCTTGCAAAGAGGTACCAAAACGTTCAATCTAACTATTGCTGGAATATTTGTGGGATCATTACAAGGTGCTGCTACGGTAAGAAATTTACATTTAAAACATGTGTTAACATTTAAAAAAATATACATATATGTATAAGAAGTTTTATTGTTTTCGAGTATCGTAATATTGTTTTTTAATGTTCTTTATTATACGCAGAATTGTCAAAAAAATGAATTAACTAATAGTCAAATCATGAACAGTAGAATAATAAAGAAGGGTGAACTAGTTAAATGCAATTTACATAATCTACAAAAATCTCTCTTGTTTAACTAATAATAAGTTAATTAGTAATTTCAATAGAGTTTTAAGAAATGCGTGTGTTAAGCTTAAGAAAATACACCTTCCAAAACACATAAAATATGTTTAGATAGAGAAAAATAGGAAAGTGTTATCTTATTACAGTTGTTGAGTACCATAGTGTCATATTTCACCGTTCTTTATTCTACGCAACAGTGAAGCAAAACAGATCAACTAATACTAAAGTGGAATAGTAATAATGAAGAAATTGATTAATACATTAAAGACCAATTATATTCTATAATCTATTTAGACAGCGATTTTGATTAGTAGTCTCGTTGGAATTGTAAGGATTTTTTATTTTAAGAAAATACAAAATTTAAAGCAGTGATGTTTGTAGTAAGTTAGTACTAATATATTAATAATTAATACATCAATATATGTAAGATTGAACGATTACCATTTTCCTAAATGATTTTATTATAATATAATTTACGAAAGCACGCATCATGTAATGAATGACACATGTTATTGCGATTAATATATCGTTAACTTATGTATGTGCTGTCAAGCGTTTTAAACTCTCAGTGTTCTTTTTTACTTGTCACATGTTAATGCGTTATTGCGTTACTGAAAACTGGCGAATGCTTACGCAACTCTCTGTTAGAAATTCAGGAAATATGCATGCATGTATATATCTCTGAGAAATGAACACTCGTTTGATTGCCCATATTATATTGATCGCATAATCGCCTACACCTTCTCAAGTAAAATTGTTCAATTACTTCAATTACATTCCAATTTCAGAGTGGTATTTTTCGCCAATTTGTTCCAACTACGCTTACGTTAGATTAGATAATTTATAATGTAATTTATAAAAAAATAGTAAGTTATGAAGAATTCAATTGAAAGGGAGAAATATATGTGCACAATCCACCAGTGACGTTTTCACCGTCAAACGTATTTCTATGTTCATAGAGTAATGATCTGTATCGAGACTAAATACTTTAACCTCAACCGGGTTCTCTTACTTGCTCTTGGTTTATGGCCTTATTATCGATCAAATATCGTTAGACTTCAAATAATCTTGTGTCTTAGTCTTGTGATAGGTGGTATTAGTTTCCAAGTAAATATATTCCATATTATATGTTACATTTTTAATTCTATCATGATAGCATTCCACATTTTTAATTATACTATTATAAGTTACTACATAAATCAATAATTACAACCATTCATCTTCCTAAAATGTTTATAATAGAAAAAATTTATAATAGAATTATAAAGTTTTATTATGTATTGTTCACTACAAAGAAACTATTCATTTTACACTTACAATTTGCTTAATTGAACAGGAGAATAATTTTGTGATTTCTTCAGTAAATTTATTAATTGTAGCTTGCAAGATTTATTACTACAAAATGCACTTCTGATCTTATAATAGAAGTTTTCTCTACCGTAACGTTTTATAGTACATACATCATAAACTATAATGCATTTTGGATGAATATGCATAATGTAAGTTTTAAACCTAATGCGCATTTGAAAAAATACACTTTATAAGTAAGTTTTCACATATAATAATTTCTTCTAGGTTTTTCAATAAGAAATGCATTAAATTTTATTATAGGTAAGGCAGTTAATGGAAAAACTGCAGCAAATATGTAATGAATTAAAAGACGAGAACGAGATCAATATTATGAAACAGTATGGAAACAGTGTGAAACGTTATACATTTTTCATTATAAGTAAGATAACACATGTTAACGTACATTACAAAGCTAAGTAAATTAATTATAACATATATAAACAATTAAATACACATGACTATTTAAACATTATTATAATTTTTTATATTTATATTAAATATAGTTGACATATTTCTAGAATGTAAAGTGATATGTTAAAAGTGATAAAAGAGGATAAGAAATATTTTTACAATATTTATGTAGAATATATGTATACGCGTTTTATTTCAATTAGTATGTTAAAAGTGTAACTTTTCTATTCATATTTATATAAAATATTATAGTGGAAAAAATATGTGAGGCATAGAAATTTAAAATACGTATATTAAAGTATTTCGGAACATGAATATGTAACAAAATATTTATGCGATATATTTGAAATACTTATATAACTTTTTTAAATGTTTCTTAGTGTTCACCATGGGCTGCTTACTTATTGTTACTTTTGTTCCAATTATTAATATTGCTTTAAATATAAACGGATATAGATATCATCCACATCAAATGCTAAGCTACTTTATGGCTGAGTACTTCATTGATCAAGAAAAATATTATTACTTAATTTTTTTACATTTAGATGTAGTTGTATGTATAGGAGCAACTACAATAGCAGCCACAGGAACATTGCTCAGAGGATATTTTATACACGCTTGTGGATTGTTTAAAATTGCCAGGTGAAAACATAAATATACGAATAAATTCAAGAGTTATACGGTTAAAAACAAAATTTCCATTTCTTATTCAATACAAATAAATTACGAAAAACTATTTAGAACTTGAAATTAATTCACAGTTATCGTATCGAGCAAGCGATGATGATCAAAATGGTTGAAAATATTAGTACAAAAAATGAGATGATGGTTTACAAGGAAATAATTTGTGCCATCGACATTCAACGTAAAGCTATAAAGTTGGTATCCATATTTAATATTATTTCTATAGTATTTTTAATAATGTTTTACTTTTTTAAGGTATTCTCAATTTATATTATCCAGCTTTGAAGGATCTTTCATCTTATTAATATCAGTTAATGTAGTTTCTTTGAGTCTCAATCTTTTTGGAGTGAGTTTTCTCTCGCGCTTTATATACGTTATTCAATTATAATACTTGTATAGATTATCTCATAATATTTGAATATAAAGAACTCGCAGATAAAAAGAAACATAATCAAATAATTATGAAAATAATTAAAAACAAGTACCAATTCGTTTTTAATGAATCAAAATTTTTCAGAAAAAAGGAGTAACAAAAATTATTTCTTGTGTATTATTTATTTATAGTTTTATAATAATATAGTTTTGTATAGAAAATAAATAAGTATTAATATAACTAAAACTTTCATTATAAAATTTTAGATTTTTCGGAGTGTGTCACTCGGAAATAGAGAAGCATTTATACTTCATTCTTTGATGGTGTCGGTCATTCTTTTATATATGTTCTTAGCTAACTATACCGGACAAGAAGTTATGGATCACGATAATTACATATACCTTACAGCGTAAGAAATTGTTAAATATAATGTTTATATACACTGCGCAACAAATTAACGTAACAAAAATTTGTACCATTTCACTCAACTTCAAATATTCGTAACTTCGCGAAAACTTATCGCATTTGAAAATTTTTTTTTATTTTGAAGCTAGAAATCTCTACATTCAAGAGAATTTTTAGATGTTGGATATCTCTGTTCCCCTTATCGTGATCTCTTTAAAAGTAAGGACATGTTTTGTCTGCAAAACTTTTCATAGTTTGACACGTTTTACGGGGTGCGATAAATTCTTTTCGCAAATTCTACAAGAACCATTGTATAATATGAATTTTCCCCTACAAATTAAAAAAAATTAAGTGTCTCTCTCTCTCTCTCTCTCTCGAAGTAATTAGAATTGATGAAAAATATCAGCAAATACTTAAACATTAAATAGTTGATAAATATTTTGTCAGTAAACGAGATTCTTCATTTATTGTCATTCTTTTATAGATACAATATTCGATGGTATATAGCTCCTGTGCACATACAAAAGTTGATACTCTTCATATTACAAAAAAATAGCAAAGCCTTCGCTTTGCACATTGGCAAAATATTTGTGGCATCTTTAGAGTGTTTCGCTACGGTAATAATTCTTATAACATCATACATAATCTTAAATATTACAAATGACTCTGTCATTATTAATGTAATACATATATTCTGTTACAGTTATTAAAAGCATCAATGTCTTATTTCACCTTCATGTATTCTACACAGCAATGATATCAAGCCATATCAATTCTTTTATTTCAATTTAATTTAATTATAAAAATCAACTATGAATCTTTGTAATTAAAAGAATAAAATGTGGTCTAAATAAAGGCTACACACATTGAATGTATTCAAGTAGTTAATTTTTTATGTTTTAGACTAAAGTATCATTTCTGCTAGAAAAATTTAATTTAATTAAATCAAAAATACCAGGGCAATGTTGTATATGCATATAATATATTTGTTGTCATTCAAGTTTTATTGAATTATTTTTACCAGTTTTTTCTTTTTGTCAATGCAATAAAATTTTTTATTTAAAAGTGATCTTTAATATGATTTAACTATTAAATTATATATAAAAAATTTCTTTTTCACTATAGTTTCATTCTCGAATGAAGTGTAATAAACTTTATTTTATTTTTAATAATATTTAATATTATGTATTTTCAATATCTAATTATTTATTTAATAGAAGGAATTTCTCACAAACTAATCCATATTTCTATGATAGCTTGAGAATAATATACGTAAAAGAAGTAATGACAATATTGATTATCTACATTCTACAGGTAGCAAAAATTGATATCTATAAAATTATAACTTTTTCCTCAAATAGTGTTATAGAAATGTATAATATATAAAATATATCGTGCAGATATAAGCCATGTTGAACAAATATAGATTAAACATATAGAAATTTAGGAATTTGAAAATCACAAACATATAAAACAGAAATACCTTTACTAAAAAATTTAATTCATTAACAATGTATATTAATAATTGCTATGTCTAAGATTTCAAATTAAGTAACTTCTTCAAGAATCAAATATCACTTTAAAAAGCATACACTAGAATAAAGAACGTTAAAATATATTATGTTGGAAGGGGTCGAACTCCACCTGTGGTCAACTGTCGCACAAGTCCCTTTACAAAGTACTCCTTTACGGAAACATCTGTTACTTTTTAGCCATATACATACAAATCGATCATTTAACCATACATCTCTTCTGGAATAAAGGTGTAAATTGCCATGTGTTTCGATCTCACGGTAGTATTTCGTTCAATGCACTACATTAGACAATTCAATTTGATATTTAAATGCAAAAAAGAAAACTAAACATAGAGATGAAAAATTATAGAACATTTAATCGGCAAATAAAAAGAAGAGAATATTATTTAAAAAATATACAAATATACCTAAATTTTCAAGAAGAAATTACTGTTTACTAGCAATATATAGTAACAACTATTACGTCAACATTTTAGTTGTGCAAGTTATACTTTTGTGAAGAAATAAGCATGCAGTCTAATAAAAACGTGACTAACTTTGAAACTAATTATTATTTAAAAAATAAAAAATAAATCAAATAAGACTTAATAATATATATCAATTATCAGTCAGAGCTATCGGCTCTTCGTAGTCTAAATTTTATGTAAATTTTCTATACTTTTCCAAGCTCAGTAAATCGCGTGTCAATTGTTGTAAAACATAATCCTATTATTTCTTGAAACAGTAAATTCGCATACTTAATGGATAAACGATTTGACGTTTAATGCTAATAAGCATCATATTTGAAAAAAAAACTGTAAAGAATTTGTTATAAAAATATTACATTAGTCAGGATTTAAACCTTGACCTCCCTTAATCTGTGACGGGTTTATCCAATTTGACCACTGAGACATGTGGTGATATTTATCGCAATAACCAGTTTATAATAAGGAGATCTGTTTTCAGGCGACATAAATACACAATAGTAAAAGTGAAGAAGTGAATCAGGACCGATGAGAATATAAAGCAAATAAGATATTAAGCTAGCTATAAAGTGAAAAACTTACATATGTACTAACAATTAGAGTAGCATTTGTGTGTCATTGAATCACCGTCGTAGTCAATTATTATCTTATGTTTTCGAGGCATCACATCAATTTTCTAACACATTCTTCAAGTAAAGATCATCACCTCAAACAAATCTGTTAAGATAATTGTTTCGTCGTATGCACATTTTTTCCACGTAGTTTCATTTTTATTAAATTCTAACACATTTTCTATGAAATGTCTGGTAATTACGACGCCCAATCTAATGTTTTGACACCATTTTCTTCTTTCCAATAGGAGCACAGGTGACTCCAATGTTTTGGATCATTGTTCTTCTCAAGGATCTACTTCTAATTTTTGCTTCAAAACCACTTTCCGGCCGATAGTTATATTAATGTAATTTCTTTGATTAATTTTGACCATCTCCTTGGTATCTAAATTCTCTGCAAATAGAGTTAAAGTTCTAAACCCTTGCTTTGAAAAGCAACCCCAAACGTGCATCTTTAACGGGAGTTTCATAGTCCACTCGAGAAATCAGTTCGATTGATCGTATTTCACTGAAAAAGTGCCTTTATTGAAAAAAATAACATTACTCCAATTACGATTAATATTTTCACACGTCCGAGCAATACTTTTTGTGACATGTTTTTCTGAGAGGTTTCTTCATTATGCTTCGGTATTTCAGATTAACAGCTCGTAGACTAATACACCCACAAAAAGTACTATCTTCTTTCAATTTAACTTCTCTTTGGTGCAACGACAGTAGCAAGTTTTTAAAAAATAACTGTATGATCTGTTTATTCTCTGATGTTTATCATGTTTTACTGAGGTCCGGCAAAGTATGAACGGCGTTTGTTATTTTATATCGTTTTATTCGCATTTTATTCACATCTTCCACTTTTTAAATGTGATTTGCAGCTATTTTCCGTAGCACTTTAGGTCTTCTCGGATGCATAGTAAAACATTTTCGAGCTTTTTAGCGTACACGACACTCATCATTAAACACGTCGTTCCTCAGCGAAAGATGGATGATAACTGAGACTATTTATATAATTCGTTATGAGGAAAGAGTCCTTCCACCTCCTCGTTCAAAAATGTTTTATTTAACAATTCTTAAATAGATGTTTGCTTAATCATGCTCTTATCAGATTATGTCACGTACACTATAGATTTTCAGTATTAAGAGTGAATATCACAAGAACACTAGCCAGATAGACTGTAACTTAAGACAGCACATACTAGAATGAGGAACGTTCCAATATATTGGGCTGGAAAGGGTCAAACCGCACCTGCGCACTGACGCACAAGTCTCTTCACGAGGTACTTCTCTCTATGGGAAATAAACATCTGTCATAGTTTCTTTCTTTATTGCTAAACACAAATAAATCGACTGGACTTACACATGCCTCTCTTAAAAATAAAGGTGCAAATACCTAGTGTAAATTGTCAGTTTTATAAAATGCTTTTATCTCACAGTGATATTTTGTTATATTTTGCATTACAGGAACTTAGGTAATTTGTATTAAATTTAAAATAGAAAAGAAATAAAAGAACCTCAACAGACAAATAAAAAAGTAATACACAAATCAATTTCTCTCTCATCAAATGTATTGTGATGTCCAAGGAAGAAATGATCGACTGTTTATACATATATCAGACTCCATCGGTTTTTATTATTTGATCTACGGCGTTATCAGCAATCGAGTTTAGTTAATTGTATTTTTTGGAATTTTGGCGATTTTCATTATATTTCAGGTACATTAATTATTTTTAATTGTATGACTGATATTATATGTAACAAATAAAATACTCAATTTTAATAAGCTGCGATTTTCCACTTGCAAATAAATAGTAATAGATAGAGAGACCATAGTACAATTATGTTATTATTATTACAATTTTCTACTTACAGCAAAATATAATTAATCAATGAATAGTATACTTACACATATTATTAAAAAAATATATAACGATTTTTAACTTTTATTTATGTAAAAGTTACTTTTAAGAACTTTTTATAATAAATTATTATGAGTTAAGGCTTTTGATCCTTTGCTGCAGTTGCCTTTGCTTGACGTATGTCAAAAGCAAGAAATAACACACTGAGAATTCTTGCGTGCTATTTTCAAATAAAAATATATTTGGTTGAAGGGACACGTCAAATCGCTTTAGCACACTTATAAAATTATTTTAAAATTAACTTCTTCGACAATTAATAAAGTCGTAAAATGAATGCAATACGAAACGTAGTCACGCGCCTCCGGATAAGCCTGCACTGAAGCTTGCGCCTGCGCGATCTTTTATCAGAGTTTTGCTCTATGAGAAATGAACACATCTGTTCAATTATCTTATATCACTTAATCATTTAATCACCAATTTATTCACAGAGAAAATTGTTAAATTACATGTTCTCATGTGGTAATATTCTGTTACATTTAACATTACGTTAAATTAGATAATTATGTTAAACCATAATTTGAGCTAAAAGCTGAAGCAAAATAAAGCAACAAAATGCAATTGATAAAACGAAAGAAAACAAATTAACGAAATGGTCTTTCTGCTGTCACATACATTTGCATGCTTGTGAAGAAATGACTTGTATCTCTTTACATACTGGCCTCAATAAGTTTATGTTACTCATAGTTGGTCTATGGCCTTATCAACAGTCTAAACTTGTTCAACTTCAATTTATTTTGTTGTATAGTATTTTGACATCATTTATCTTACTTCAGGTACCTTAATATACATATATATTGTATAAGTAGCTATATTATGACTAGATAAAAACTATGACGTTTTTATTCTTAATAATCTTTTATTTTGCGCTTTAATATACCGAAATCGTTGTTATCATTGCAATATTAAATAAGTACCGTGATATTAATTTCATAACATGTGTTTGTTATTATACAAGGTGAATTTTATTTCGTGTCTCAGATTCTTACCATGACAGATAAATTACCGACCGAAACTGTAACCAACCCGGGAAAAGAAAAGAAAAAAAATTCATTATATTATATGTCTCAATTAGAGTTTTTGATTGGATACGTGTTTCAAGATTCACGTGTATTTACACGTAATCCGTGTACATGGATTTAAGGTACCTTCATTCACGTGTACCTGTGTACGTGACATGTGTACACGTATAGTCGTGTATGTGATACGTGTATTCGAATATTCGTGTATGTGACACGTGTACTCGAATATTCGTGTAGGTAAAACGTGTACTCGAATATCCATGTATGTGTAAACGTGTGCAACTATTTATCAAAATTTGATGAAAGATCTCTATTTCTGCATATGTTGTTCGACATATGTATACGCATAATTCCAGCATTCCAAGTTTTATCCAGATTTTGTTCACATAATTCTCTAAATATTTCCCTATTGAGGTATACACGGCTACACGTTTACACATGGTGGCACATACACGGATATTCGTGTACGCGTGTTACGTTCACGAATATTCGTGAGCACATGTCACATTCACGTGTTCACGGATTCACGTAAATGAAGATTCTTTAAATTCGTGTACACGGGTTAAAACACGGATAAGTTAAATACACGGATTTATAGTCTAGTATACGTGTACTAGGAAGCTCTAGTTTCAATCATGTAATATCTAATTGTATCTTGAGAGGTATAATTAGATATTACATGATTGAAGCATATATAGCGAGAATTTTGCCATTTTTCCAAAATTGGCTTGGTAAAAGACTGGGACACGAAATAAAATTCATCCTGTATATGTGTAAAAAAAATTTTAATTTCTAATTTTGGCTAAGATATTGTAATTAAATAGATTTCGCGTATCAAATTATACTTTGAAAAACAATTACAAATTTATTGGTAGAAGTGCTGTTTGTTTGAATAAGAAAATAATAATTTTTGTGTAAATTCATCATCTCATTGTATAAAAATATTTTTTAGTTTACAACATTGCTGACTTCACACTATACTCGAGATCTCCTCATCAAAATTCTTGGATCTGCTTTATTTTACGTTACCTTAGCAATTAAATATAGTTCATTTAGTGTTAACATTGAAATCGTAAGTAAAATATATTGAATGGCAATCGTTCGTGAAACTAAATCGATTTTATTTTACAATAAGCGGACAGAATAAAAGAAATTAAACGTTAGATAGAAAAAAATCAGTCATTTTACTAACATATAGTATAAAAGAAAAGTCATATATGTATAAATTGATAACAATAAGTATTATAAAAAAAGGACCAACAATTCAGCTCACTGCATAGCTCAATAATCAGTTCGAGATAGCTGTCTGAACTTGCACAATAATTGAGGTGTTCTTTAAAACTTTAAAAATTACATATGCTAACATAAACAACTAAAATTTTGCTTTCGAAAAATTTTGAGTAAATTTCTGTCATGGTAAGATGCATATCATGATTTCTTAAATATACGAGTATATTGCATTGAATTATGCAATTAGACAAGTTTTTACTTTTTTATAGATTTTATTTTTATATGTACACAAATAGATTTTTCTTTCCGCACTATATACAAATAATAATAATAATGAAATTCTTCTACAGTGTAAGATGTTTAATTAATTTTATTTCGTTGATTAATTACATAGAACAGCTGTGCAGCTTCAATACTTTCTCGAATGTCATGTGGTATATTATATCGTAGTATATTGTATTTGTATAAGTATTACTTTTTGAAAAGAAATATTTCCAAAAGCTTGTCTTTCTTATATAATACAAACAAGACAATATTTTTCAAATATGATTAAGAAAATAGTATGTAATATTGACAGGTAAAGTATTTGCTTGAGCGTCTACAGCATATTTGTAACGAGTTAACCGACGAGAATGAAATTAATATCATAAAAGAGTATGCTGTCGTTGCGAAACGTTACACAATTATGCTTCTATGTAAGACAACTCTTTATGATCTCTGTTAAACACAAATTGTATATTATGTTTAAAAACTTTAATGCGCAATGAGTTTATAATAAATGTTTTTTAATGAATTGATCTATAAACGTTTTTCAGTGCTTTTCATATTGATTATGCTCATTTTAATTTCATATCCAATTTGGTTGCACATTTTTGACATCTTTCTGTCTATAAATGAAACTCGGTTACATTTTTTGCCGCTGCTTGTGACAGAACACATTATCGATCATAAAAAATACTTCTACTTGGTACTTTTCTATACACATGCAGCTGTTTTTATTGGGTTATTTGTAATGTTCGCAACAGGAACAATACTCATATTTTATCTACAACATGCATGCGGAATGTTTCGAATTGTTTGGTAAGGGAATATCAAAAGTATAAAAACAAATGTGAAGAATCTATTAAGGTGCAAAATTAGAGAGGTCATTTAATAATGCCAAAAGAATCATTTGCAGTTATCGTATAACACGTGTAATGACATTCAAAACTCTACAAAAGAACAAGCTACAAAATGAGAATTTGATTTACAAAGAATTAATTTGTGCCGTCGATATGCATCGCAAAGCTATAAAGTTGGTATTCAATAGTAATTATTATTATTATTATATTATTAGACTAATTGAGATAACATATACATTTTATATGTAAAAATAGCATATATAATAATATTGTCTTTTATTTGAAGATTTTCTGACTCAGTAGTATCTAGATTTAAAGTAATGTTCTCCTTGTTGATAATGGCCGGTCTGATTTGCGGGTCTCTTAATGTTTTTCGGGTAAATACTGTCTTTGTTTTATAATATTCTTATGAATAATAGTAATAAGATTAGTTACTAATAAATTTTTATTCAGACAATCTTAATTCATTGTTATTTTATTTGATATTATTGATTTAACTTTTATGATTTAATTAAATATCCGTTTATTTTAGATTTTTCAGATAACATCCTTTGAATATGATATTGATGAACTTTTGTTACGAATAACATTTATCATCGTTCACTTGTCTTACATGTTTATCGCCAACTATGTTGCACAAGAAATTACAGATCATAATAATCATGTATTTGTCTCTGTGTAAGACACTAATTACACGATACAATTATATGCACATATCTGTTATGCAGATCAATGTAACAAAAAAAATATACTTAATATAGTTTATATGAAATGCGTGATAAAACTGTTCGTAGATTTTCTTTATATTTCTCAATTATCAATTTATCATCACATAGGTACAACAGTGAGTGGTACGTGGCTCCCTTGCAAATACAAAAAATGATACTGTTCCTTTTGCAAAAAGGTACGAAAGCGTTTACTCTAAATATTGCCGGATTGTTTGTAGGATCATTAGAAGGTGCTGCTACGGTAAGAAATTTACGTTTAAAATACATATATGTTAACATATATTTTAAAGAAAACTAGAAAAATCATATCTTATTACAGTTGTTGAGTACCGGAATATCGTTTTTTACTGTTATTTATTCCACGCAGAATTAATTAAAAAACAAATCAACGAATAGTCAAACAATGAATAGTAAAAATAAGAAGGAAATTAATTAGAGGCAACATAATATAAAATGATTTAATGTAAAATAAGTTGCAAATTTCAATAGAATTGTAAGGAATATTAAACGTAAGAAAATGTTTAAAACAATGTTTACAAATTATTAATAAATTAACGGTTCAGCTACATCGATATATTGTATAAGCTGAGTTTTACTACTTCCGTGAATGATCTAACTTACTTTACGAGCATACACATCACAAAACAGATGAGATGTATTATTAATATTATTATATTATTGAAAACTGACAAATGCATGCGCGACTTTTTGGTGAAATATTTATACTTATAAACATTTCTTTATAAGAAATAAATATCCTTTCAATTTCTCTTACATTGCTTTGATCACTTAATTGTTTACTAAATTTGTATTATCCAATTTTGAAAAATTCTTCTTTTTATTAGATTAATAGTGATTAATTTTTTTAAGTCTTTCTCTTAAGTCATTCTTTTGCAATGAATTCTCTTTCGTTGTCAAATGTATTATGTAATGATTTGTGTAGATTATTTCATAATATTAAAATTTAAAGAATTATATTGTATATAAAAAGTAATATAATTTCGAAATTACAAAGATAAGTAACAAGAATTCTAATTTGTCAGAATAAGAGATGTTATAGTATTACGAGAAATGTAACAGATTAATGTATACGATAAAAAAGTAAGTATCTTAATACTTGCTCTGCAGAATGCAGAACTTTTTATGATATTTAGATGCCAAACATTTAACAATCTTTGATATTTTAAATATCTTTAAATTTTACAGTTTACAGTACCTTCACTTCGCCAGTAATAATTTCATGTTCAACTTAACACATGATTTGTAACAACTTCTATCAAGACAGTGCCAATATTTATCTAAAAGATCAAACGTATCCTACGACTGCACGCATAGAAATGAAACGTGTAGCTGTGGGACAACGTCGCTAGGATCGAATGAATTGCGCTTGCGTAGACTTCGATAAAGTTTCCTTATGTGTGTTTTTACTGTGTGAAATAAACAGCTGTTGAATTCCATTCGGTATAAAATTGATTGCTTTTTTTCTAGCAAAATTATCAAAGTATAAATATCTCGATCCCACGACAGTAGTTTGTATTATATCCCATGTATATTAATTAGGCTATAGTATTACATGTCGCTATGTAGAATTTAACATAGAAAATATTTCAAAATGTTCATCTATCGGGAAGAAGGGCATACAAAACTTTGTCGTCTTTTTTACAAGCAGATGTGTCTTAATGCTTATTGAGAAATGATTTCGGTTGTGACCCAATATTTTGACATCAATCGGATTCTTCTACTCGCCATTGGCTTATGGCCCTACAAGCAATCAAAACTTGTTAAATTTCAATTAATTTTGTTTTTTGGTATTTTGACGAGCTTTATTATATTTCAGGTATATTTTTAATATGTCTTATTATGTAATAGATCTATAAATTACAAATTTATTATTTAACATTAATTTAATGTTGAATATTAAATAATTAATATAATATATAATGTTAAATAAACATCATATCATGTCATATTATATTTTATAATATAATTTAAATTAACTATATTAAAATTATATAATATGAAAGCTACATATTGTGATTACCTATACATAAAAACAATTGACTATTTTATACTTATAAATTGTTATTTAAATTCTTACACATATAAAGTAATTATATTAATATGACTTCTTCTATAAATTTAATTGTAGATTACAACATTTTTTACTACAGAATACACACTTCAACTTGCTATTGAAATATTTTCTTTCATATTACTTTTTGTTGCATTTATAATTAAATATAATTCCTTTTGGATTAACATTCAAATTGTAAGTTAGATTTTTAATCGTTCAATATAAATAAATTTTTATAAAAGTTTTTCAAAACTTTAGGAGAAACTGTATAAAATATTGTTAATATAATAGGTCAAATGTTTACTGGAACAATTGCAACATATCTATACTACTTTAAAAGATGAAAATGAAATTGCCATTATAGAAAAATATGGACGCATTGGTAGACGTTTTACCATTAGAATAATGCGTAAGATAAAATTTATTAACTTTCTTTATGTGTCGCGACGTAAAAAATTGATTACAGCAAAAAAATCGTACGCATGACAAATCGATAATTTGCATTATTACTCATTTACAAACAGTAAATTATTACTATTTTTTTAATATGCTCAGAGCTTACATTGTGCGGTGCATTTTCTCTGTTTTCCTTACCAATGTGGCCGCGCATTCTCGATATCATTATGCCCATGAATGAATCTCGGTCACCTATTACGATGCCTATCGCAACTGAATACTTTGTCGATCAGGACAAGTATTTCTATTTAATCTTACTGCACTTAAATGCAGCTCTTTGTATAGGAGCAATTGCATATATAGCAACGGGAACAATGCTCGTAGGATATCTTAAACATGCTTGTGGAATGTTTAAGATCGCCAGGTAAAAAACATACGTAAAATATATAAAAATAAACATTTATTTTGTAAGTAAAATGTCATTTGTTATCTGAAATGTAGAAAGACTCTATATTTACAGTAATCTTATTATTTATAGCTATCGTATCGAACGAGCAATGATGATCAATATTTTAGGAAATAGTATAGAGAATGAAATTACGATTTATAAAGCAATGATTTATGCCGTCGATATCCATCGTCAAGCTATAAAGTTAATTTCTTAAATGATAATTCGTATCGATGTACAGCACTGTAAAAGTGTTTTAATAGTAAAATAATAATCTTTTACACACACACAATTATTTATTAATAATTAAGCGTATTAACAATATTTTCTTTTCGAAAACCTATTAAAAAATGTCTTATAGAAAATGTTAAATTTGTTCACAAAATTTGCACAATATTTTTAATTAGAATCTTTAATATATACCTTTTCATTTTTTAAGATTTGCCGAGATTGTAACAACCAACTTTGAGGGAACATTTCTCTTTATAATCGCAGTTAGTGTGTCTTGCTTGAGTCTCAACCTTTTTCGAGTAAGTTTTTTTGCGTCTTTACATAACATCTTATATATGTTCTAAGCATAAAACATATAATTTAAATAAATAATGTAATATGTTGTTGCATTCACTGATTCTCTCCAAAATATGAATCGCTAAGGGCCAGTTTCACAAAGGTCGGTTAACTGCTAACTGACGGTTAATTGACGGTTAATTCTCTGTCTCTTCTTAGAGAACAAGATAGAAAAAGATAGGGAGTTGACTGAACCCTAGTTAACAGATAATCGATGTTTGTGAAACTGGCCCTAAGGCAATCGTTAAACAAACAACTGTAATCTCTCGTCAATCGGGAACGTCGTGCATACTAAAATGCAGCTCAATTCAGATGGAATCTGAGGATTAGTGTGGGCATAACAATATTCTAATATTTTTTTAGTTAAAAAGACCAATGACCAATAAAGATAATATAATAAATAGTCGTGAAAATAATTAACCATCTAAATTTTGGACAGAATTTGAACTAATTCTAAATTATCAGAAAAAAACGAAAAACTCATCTACATATTTCCTTGTGTGTAGATCTTCTAATTTTTTTATAATACATATAATTGATGTATGTAATTGATATTAATGCATAAATTCAAGAAACATATATTTCAGATTTTGCAAAGTTTAGCATTTGGCAGCCGAAACATAGAACTTTTAATGCACTTTTCCATTGCAGCAATCATTCTTGTATATGTATTCATAGCCAACTATGCTGGACAAGAAATTACAGATCACAATAATCATGTATTTTCTACTGCGTAAGAAACAGTTTTGTAGAATATTCTCAGTTATATACGTATAGTATACACGCGCACAATATTATAATTATTAATTAGTTATTAATTTATTACCTATTACATACATTCGATGATTATTTTTTCCATAGATATAACGTTCGCTGGTATACAGCACCGTTATCCATACAGAAGCTGATATTATTTGTATTACAAAGGGGTAGTAAATCTTTCGGTATAAACATCGGCGGATTGTTTATAGCATCTTTAAAATGTTTCGCCTC